CCCGGGAGCCACGTAGTTCGGCTGGTGCTGCTGACCGCATCCTCGTCCTCGGCCGCGGGTGCCTCTGCCACGCTAACCACGTCGCCCTCATCCCCGATTATACTGATTGCCACCTCGCGGATCATGTCCAGGAGCTGTCGGGGGCCGCGGGCTGAGCAACAAAAGCCGCATGGGATGACGCCTCCTGAGAGCGAAGATAAAGAATGCGTTGCTCTTGCTCAACCAGCCGTCTCCGTAGCTTATCAAAAGTGAGTCCCTCCGGAAAAGAAGTTAATGTGGTAATTATAGACTCATAATCAGGACCAAGACCGAGAAGTGTTTGCTCAATTATGTCTTTCAGGGAGACCGGTGAATTAATCGTGGCAAGGGCATCAATAATTTTCTGAATTTCACGCATGTATTGCTCCATGGTTTGATTTTCTTTCTTTTTAGTATTTATTGAACATGCGTTTTAATTCCATAGAACGAGCCATGCTGGCAGCCATAAATCTAGATTCCAGTCGTTCCCAGATGGTAGCAGAACTTTGAAGTGTATGAACTTCAACAAGTATATCACGAGATAAAGTAGCAAACAGCCAAGAACGAACTGTTTGGTCTAACTTTAACCAATAATAATACTCGTTGTTCACAACTTCTCTACGATTAGCATCAAAAATAAATTGAGGAGGAGCAGTGATAGTACCATCTAGGATGCCCATGAGACCGTGAGATACCAAGAACGATTCAAATTGGGTGCGCCAGGGCAGATAATCTTCAACTGCATCAAGCTTGGTGGTAACAATGTTCGTAATATTGGGAGCCGAAAAACCCATAGCCTATGCAATTGCCTCCAGAGAACTAGTGCGGGCTGCTGCCGGTTGGCCTATCAGTGAAACCGTAGGCGGCGGCGCTAATCCTTGCACTCCAGAAAATGTGGGACCGCCAAAAAACATCCGGGAGGATGATGATGCCGGAACCGACTGTGTGGCCGAGTTCGGACCGGTCGAGTGAGTGGCAGTAACCGGAGTAGACCAATCAAACACCGGTGGAACCCAAACCGAGGCATCAAAAGTCGGGTTGCTCACCGGAAAAGATGCTGAATACGTCGGGTGCAAGACAGTGGACGCCGAGCCAAACGAGAGAGAGAACGAAGCAAACGAAGTAGAGAAAGCTGCCGGCATGGTGACGGGCGCTGCCGTGGTGAGAGGCGCTGCCATCGTCGGAGTTTGTGCGGCCGTTGTATTCGGCGCGGTGGTGGCGGTGGTTTGTCCAGCGGCGGCGGGCGAAGCCATAAGGACCGAAAAAAAATTAGGGTAAAGGGATGACTCTTGATACCATGTGAGAATAATAAACAGGCTTAACCAGACTGGTAGCCCTGAGAGTATATTTATAATAAATAAGTTGCCAAATACAATTAAGAAACTAACTAATACGAAGTAATTAATTCTACACTATTATTTTCATCTAAAGATAAGGGATGTAGAGCCAATAAGGTATATTTATAATAATTTTATAAAATATATTCTATTTTATGAAAGACTCGTTTTTTAATTTTGTACAACAAATTGTGTAAGATTTAAAAGAAGTAAGGTTGTATTTATTTTTCTGCTATATTTTATGAAACATTATTTTAAATTATAAAAAAATTACAATGTTTTATTTATTTTATTAATAAAGTATATTAAAATATACTTGTATAAGTTTTAAATAGCTAAGTTCTTTCTCTAGGGTTTGACGGAAAGCGCAGCTTGTCTACGATAGGGTTTGTGGTGCCACAATCTCTTACAATCTCTTTTGACGGTGTGGCTAGATTTTGATCGGTTGTTTCTTTTTGCGATTGCAACGAAGGGGAAGAATGGAGGAGGTGGATGCAAGGTTGATGTGGAGCTCAGCTGGTGTACCAGTTCCCTCTGAGAGAGGGCGTGCGGGTTCAAACAGAAAGGTGGGCTTTGGCGTCGCCGATGTGGTTGATTGGTCGAGTGGACCAGGGAGCGGTTGTGAGGCACAAGGGTGGGATGGGGGCTGCGGACAAAGGCAAAATTGTTGACCCGACCTCTTCCTGAATCACCGCCATGGAGTGAACGTGTGTCTAGGGCGGTTTGGAAAAAGAAGATTCAAGTTTGTTTTATTCTTATTTCAAGTTTTATGTTTCTTTCGTTAGACGATTTATCTGGCTCTGTTTGTGTTTGTGATAGTTTTGAAATGTCTAATTTAGTTATGATCAAAGATAATTGCCTCGAAACTCCCATATGATCACGAAAAAGCTTTACTCAATTTTGGGTAAACTTTTCTATATCTGATCACGGACAAAGAGGATCATTTGATTCTTATGAGTCTAATAAAGTGGTGAAGAGTACGGTGACCTTAAAAGTCTATGAGAACTCTTTGTTGCCTATTTGGTGGTCAGTGATTCGTGTTGCTGCTGCAGATGTGATCGTCTCAGAGTCTGATCATAGGATGTCTCTTGAGTCTAGATGTACTAACTTGTTGATGGATATGTTGTGATTTTGGGGCTATTGGTTGATTGCAAATTTTGATGCATTTCGTATTTTAATACGGAGTATAAGCCTATTTTTCATTTTAAAAAAAACTTTGGGAAAACTGTCAAGTTGGTTTTCGTACTTTCATGAAAAAGTCAATTAGGTCCTCGTACTTTTAAAAAAATCAATCAAATCCCCGAATTTTGTAAAAACGTTCAATTGAGTCCATTTGTAGGTTCCTTGCCATGTTAGTAGGTCACCCGCTGACGTGGCACGCATGTGTTAGCCCAATCAGCAATAACCTTGCTGACGTGGCACACATGTGGAAGTCCGATCAGCCATTTGTTGTTGACGTGGCGCACACGTGGACCGCCATATGTGCGCCACATCAGCGGGTGACCTGGTGACATGGTAAATGACCTGCAAATGTACTCAATTGAGCATTTTTACAAAGTTCAGGATTTTGATTAATTTTTTAAAAAGTACGAGGACCTAATTGATTTTTTCATGAAAGTATGATTACCTAAATTAACAGTTTTCCCAAAAAACTTTTACTGCATCTGTCCCATTCAAAGGTTCCAAACCACTGTACACATGGTCAACTCAAATCATTCTCAATCTTTTGTTTTACATATCAAATTTCTATCAAATTAATTTTTTTTATCTTGCTTTGTAAAAATTTTAATGTAGTTTCTGAATATATAAATTTTATCCACTAAAAATAATCAGAGTATGAACAGAGATTAAGTTACTTTATCATCGATCAGAGTTGAACCATAGTCAGACGGAGGGAGTAAATAGTTTGACATATTCAATCAGGTGGATTGCTAATATATTTTCATATTCATATAATTCGAGTAGATTTAGAAGCTATTCTCTTCACCTAATCTGAATGTTTCTGATCTGAATTTTTTAAGTTCTGATCTGATCTGAATGTTTCTGATCTGATCTGGTCTGATCCGAATCTTTCTGATCTGGTCTGATCTGATCTGAATGTTCCTGATCTGATCTGAATGTTCCTGATCTGGTCTGAATGTTTCTGATCTGATCTGAATCCTTCTGATCTGATCTGAATCCTTATGATCGATCTGAATCCTTCTGATCTGGCCTGATTTAAATATTTCTAAAATTATAATTATAATTTTAATTTTTATTATAATAATTAGAAATGTAATTACACATATATAATTTAAATATAATTATAATTATACTCATAATTATAAAAAAATTATAATTATAATTATAATAATTATAATAGGTATAATTATTATTATACGTATTACACTAGTTATAAATATAACTATAATTAGAGGAAGCGGCCCAGCTCAGCTGGTCGCCGACTCACTCTCCCCTATGGGAGGTCTCGGGTTCAAAACTCAATAGGGTGAGTTTCAACCTAGTTACTTCAGGGGGCCCCCAGACCCCCTCCCCCAGAGGTCTCCTAGAGTAAACAAAAAAAACCTATAATTATAATTGTAATTATATTTTTAGTTATGATTATTTCTATAATTATAATTTTAATTATAATTATAATATTTATTTCTATAATTTTAATTTTAATTACTCTGTGTAATATAATAATAACAAAAAAATACTAATAACAATAACAACAACCATAATAGTAATAAGACTAATAATAATCATGATAATAATAATTTTCATAATAATTATAATAATCATAGTAATCATAGTAATGATGATGATGATGATGATCATAATAATAGTAATAATAATAATAATAGTAATAATAATAATTACAATAACAATAAGAATAATAATAATAAAAAATTAATAATAATAATAATAGTCATAATAATAGTAATAATAATCATAATTACAATAAAAATAAGAATAACAATAATAATAATAATAATAATTATTATTATTATTATTATTATAATTATTATTAATATTATTATAATTATATTATAATAAAAGAGATAAATCATGTCTGAACTTTTCTGATCTGATCTGAATGTTCCTGATCTGATCTGAATGTTCCTGATCTGATCTGAATGTTCCTGATCTGATCTGAATGTTTCTAATCTGATCTGAATGTTTCTGATCTGATCTGAATGATTTTGATCTGATCTGATCTGATCTGATCTGAATTTTTTTGATCTGATCTGATCTGAATAAAATAAGAATAAGCAATAAGCAATAAAATAAGAATAAGGAATAAGTAATAAGAATAAGATTAAGCTTCTCAGTCCATTAACTCCTTCCACACTCATGATGTAACCGGGTAAGCTTGAAATACAAGTGATTACTGCTAAAAGAATCGGATCTGGAAGACTGGAATTACGTGGTACATAGGGACAGAAATGTAACTGCACATCCATCATCGGAAATTTTAAATCAGACAAGCACAGCCACGTCACCGATCCTACAAACATATCCATATCCTCGCGCTCACCGTCCAATTCAAAACGGCAGAAATCACTTTTCTACCGTCCGATCTCCTCTTTTATCCGCTCGTAATCTTCCCCTTTTAAAAACCCCTCTCACCCAAATCTCTCCATCCAACAACTCTGTCCTTTCCCATTCCCCCCCTCACCACTCGATCGCCGCCTACCGTTTCTGTTTTGGAATTCGAAGCATCCATGGCCGCCGCCGAAGACCAGCAACCGGAATCTTTGCCGGATTATCCTCAGGTCCTTAAATCTCTCAATCCGGCTTTTAATTCTGTGATTTCTAATGTTTAATCGTATGATTCTACTGCGAATTTGTGCTAATTTTGTTGTTTTCTCCCATCCAGATGATCATGGCCGCGATTGAGGAGTTGAATGAGAAGGACGGATCTAGCAAAGACGACATTTCGAGGCACATAGAGACCGCAAAAGGCGGCGTTCCTCCGTCTCACCACGCGCTGCTTATTCACAGCCTCGAAAGGATGATTCAGAGCGGCCAGCTCGTCTTGATGAAGAATAACTACATGAAGGCCGACGCGAATGCTCCGCCGCGCCGAGGTCGCGGCCGTCCTGCAAAGGCTAAGACGGCCTCACCTACTGAAGCACCGGTCTCAGGCCCGCCCCGTCCGCGTGGCCGCCCTCCTAAGGCGCGTGACCCTCTAGCTCCGGAGAGTTCTTCTATGAAAAAGGCATCTGCTTCTATTCCTGGCCGGAAACGAGGAAGGCCGTCTAAGGCTTCCAACGCTGGTGCTGCTGCTGCACCGCCGGCAGCGAGCGGTGCTCCGGTTGCACCCAGAGGGAGAGGGAGGCCGCCGAAGGTGAAGGTGAACCCGGCCATGGCTGCAACAGTTGGAGCATAATAATGATACTTGTTGAAATAAAAGTAGCTTTAGTGATCAGCTCGTATTATTCTGTCTTTTTTTGCATTTAGTCCTTGTGTTTTTGTTTAATTTAAATGTAGCGCCCTGTTAAGTAGAGATCCATGTATGTATATGTCTGTATGAGGCAAACTGAGTCATCGGCTTTATAGGCCATTGCTGTTTATCACTGCTCTTCCTTTTTATTGTTTTGCTCTTTACCTTTTTGGTGAGTGATACTGAGATTTTTTTTTTGAACAAGTGAGTGATAGTGACGATGAAAAATGATTCTCTCTCTGTCCCAATTTGATGATTGCATATTTTCTTTCGGGGCAGTTTCAAATTGATAGTCCCATTTCCCTTTTTGAAAAGAAATATACGGTCCACATTATTTCACTTTTTTTTTACTCAAATCTCAATCACAACTTTTACTTTTTCAACCACTTTTTTTGATTTTTGAGTCCAAAAGAAATGAGATCATCAAATTGGGACCGAGGGAGTATTTGTACCCGAGTTGCAGAATTGGTAGAAACATCCGTTATGTTTTCCTTAAAGTGAATTTTAAACCTAAAATCTTGAAATTAAGAAAAAATTTCAGTTTTGTCCCAAGACTATTATGAGTTTATTTGCAACAGTTTCTGCTTTTAAAAAAATGTTTTTTTTAATGAAATGAGGAGAAGCGATTAAATAAAAGTTGATAGTGTTTGAGAAAAAAGTGATTTTGAAAAGTAAAAGTGGGTAGTGTTTGGTAAAATAAATGCTTTTTGTGTAATAGAAAAAGTAAAAACATTTTGACGCGGAAGCCGAGAAAAATAAAAGTTGTAGTGTTTGAGAAAATAAGTGATTTTTAAAGCCAAAAGCTGAGAAGTGCTTTTTTAAAAAGAGTTGCAAATCAACCCTATGCCACTTATATAAAGACCGTTTGACAACACAATTTTTTGGTTTATTAGGCTTATCACTAGGGATGACAACGGAGCGGATCGGAGATGGTTTTATATATAATCGAACCCATCCCGTTTGGTAATTCCCCCGCCCCATAACTGCCCCATTACCCAACGGGTAATTTTTACCCAAACCATAACCGCCCCAACGGGTAACGGTTATAATCGCGGGTAATCACTTTATTAAATGAGTCATTGATATTTTAATAAAAAATAATATTTTAGAAGGTGAAAAATGACATCACCTAGACGACGTTAGACTCAAACGCCACTTTAAAGCTTCATATATCTATACGACGAGAAAGAAGACAACCTAAATTAATTTGAACCTACAAATACTTAATCTGTAATCAAACAAGGCTATTAAGTTCTATTGAGAACTTTAATTCTTACACTATAGTTAGTACATCTATTATTCATATATACACAATGAACATTAAAAATCTCATCTTTTATTAGTTGTGGGACAAATAATAGATAAAAAAGTAATAAAAATATAACTAAAAATAAACGGGGCGGGTAATGGGGCGGGCATGCATAAAACCGTAACCACCCCGTTATCTGTAAAAACAAAATGAGTATTCCCTGCCTCGTACCCATTACCCGGTCAATGCGGTTTTCCCCATTTTGATCGGGGTGGTTCGGTGAGGGTATCCATCGGATCGGTCACAATTGCCATATCTACTTATCACCCAGTTTTTTCAGCAAACACGTAATTTTTGTTTTCGCGCGCTGAGTTGTGTAATAAGCATAAAAAGTACAGAAAAAGTAAGGTTGAAGTTACTTTTCAGGCTGTATTGGCCGCAGTTACTGTAGATGACCATTTTAGCTATTTTTACATATAATTTTTTCTTTATTTTATTAATAAAATATACTTTTAAAATAATACGGAGTATTTTCTTAAATCAGCAGAATCAGCCAATGCAGCCACTTCAGCTAGAACTTCAGAAATATCAACAGAATCAGCCAAATCAGCCAATTTTGGTGCTACCAAATGGGCTCATTTTTTTTTACCATATTTCCAACTTTGCCACATCTCGTCCCATCGTTTTGTCCCGTTACCATTTGTCGTCTTTCTGGCGAGAACTTCGACAAGTTTAAAATTTAGGTTTAAATCCTCTCCTTAATAGCACTACACTTCTAGAAATGAGTTTCCCGCTCATACAAACTTCTCATATCATCCGTCTGATTCCAATAAAATGAATCGACTGCTTCTAGCCTCGCATTGGAAACCTACTCCTACCTCCCGTTTCTCTAGGCTCTTTCTTCTCCCCAAATGGAAGCAAGGTCTTTGGGAAATCATCTACCTGTACTATCCGCCCGGAAATAGATCGGTCACTATAGCCTTCTTCAACTTCGTTCTTGAACGTTAGGTTCAGCCATCTTTGCTGAAATCAACGTCACCGATATCGTCCGGCCAAAAATCATCCTTAAAAGGTGTTTACTTCAATTTCATTCTTCAGCCATTTTCCAGCATCTATCTTTGCGGAAATCATCCGCCGAAAATGGAGTCAACCATTACAGTCTGTGGAAATATCTTGGCCGAAATCCAGCCAATTCAAACTGACTGGTGAACATATTCTTCTTCCTTCGGAATCATCTTTGTATATGCGTCCATCCCTACAATTTTCTTTCACAAGTACTGCTTAATGTAATTCTACTTTGATTCATACAATTTCCTTCCATCTTCTATTTAGTCACGTGAATAGCCATGTGAATAAACTGATTTATTCACATTTTTTTTTGTGAGAAGTAGATACTTTGATTACAAAGTTTTTGTTATAATTTCTCAATCAACAATTTATGATTATTCTGGAAATGTGAGAAGTAAAGGGAATATTGTTATTACTTAAAACTTCACATTTATGTTTAGTTTTAACTTTTAATTACTCTATGTGCAGCCCCAAATGCAATTAAGGAGCTTCATAACAGTACTCAGTCAGATTGATGTTTTGGAATCAATCTGACATTACATAATATAATTGTTGTTTCTTCATAGTCTCTTTGGTGAAACTATTAGGTAAAAACAGTCCTTGATGAAGTTATATCGCAAAATCAAGCCACACATATTTGGTTTTATTAAACTTTGTGTCAGGTAAGTGCACAATTATATATGGACATAAGGGATACGAATATACGATGGCACATGACTTGAAAACTTATAGGTGGATATATCTAAAGTCTTTGGGACGTTTGCCTATCTCTTTTGGAACGTGGCTCTGGAATGTACACAATTTTGTAAGAACCTGCATAAAATAAATAGGAACCTATTCCAGTAATTTGGACTCTATTACAAATAGGTATCTGGTTTTTTTCCTAGCTTTCCTTTTAATTAGGGGAAAAGAGTACACACCAAAGTAGGGCATCTTACATTTGTTTAAGATTTATGAGGTTTGCTCTCAACCCAGACAATGCCCCTGATAAGTCTTGACTTTGTGCTATCCTGTAAAACCAAGCAATGAGTTTCCCTTCTTTACCATTTGCTTAAAATAAATTAAAATATTGAATAGTTGGTTTTTTCATTTTTTTGAGTTGGACATTTTTTTTAGTTTAATTGTAGGATGCTTAAAATACATTGTTTATGTCTTTTGACCAATGTGTTAAGAATACCTGGAATGCTAATGCTAAGAATATTAATAGAGCAAAGTGTGATGGCAGGGAGTGATCTGAGATGAGCTGAAGGGGTTAGCACCTTGGATGCAAGATTTTCTGGGAGAATAAGTAAATCACAAGCTAGGCCAAATCCCTCAAAATATTAGGGAACTTAGCAACAAATATATTCTACATCTTTGGAACTTCCACCATTAACCTTTAAAGGATTGCAACCTTTCTGCTTTGACTAACGAACTGTCAAATGGAGTGTGCTATTTTAAAACATTAAGCTGTTATATAAGTGAAAAATGAATTTATGTATTACATTAGGGACATCTAAGTTGTTATAGTAAAACAACCTCTTGCTTTGTGTAAATCGATGAAACTATGACAACCTGGAGAAGGGTTCAGAGGTGGCTACTATTGACGTGCAAAAGGGAAATTTCATGTTTTTATTCTTTTTTCCCTTTTTCTTTTTACCCTTTGTTTTAAATGTCATTTGTGGTTGTTTATTCCTCCAAATTCATTCCAGCAACATGATGCTATTAGAGGGCTAGATAGAAATGAGTTTAATACATCTTTCACGTAGAAGGTATTTCTTGAATCAAAATGAATATTCATGGATTGTGATGGACAGTGTACCCGGGGTAGCTTATCTGAGGGGTTATTGTGGGAATAACCTAGAGAGAAGTCAGAGCAAACAAGTAGGAGAGAGAGGCGATTATATTAATGAATTCGAGATGTTCTCCTCCTTTACAATGGGAAAAGGGGGTGCTATTTATAGTAGTAATAAATGCGATGAGAGTACACGTGGCGATGATCTAACGACCGAGGGGTCACCTCAATCGGGTGGCACTGGCAGTCGCATGTGCACCGCATTGAATGCGGTGGGTGGATGTGACGTCGCATTAAATGCGGTGGTTGCTTGTCTCCAAAGGGAATCTTCGATGATTGAACTGCTAGCCGAAGGCTCCCCCGCAGCCGAGGGCTCTGTGTAGCCGAAGGCATGAGAGTGCCGAAGGCTTCCCAGATGCCGAAGGCTCCTGGTAACTGAGTGCTACCGTTTTATGTCATTTTCTTCCAGCAGTTTGGTGCACTTAAATCTGGCTTCCCTGTGTATTTTGGAGCCTTCGGCCAAGGAGGCCGAAGGCACCCTAGTGTGTATTTTGGGCTTCTTTGAGACTTGGGCCGCTGTATTTGGGCCTGAAATGCTCTTTGGGCTCAATGGGCCTATGTAGGAGAAGTAGGAGTCTATGGGCCGGGGGTTCCTGGGCCATATACTCCATCAGATTGCTTCATTATCAAAGTTTTACTCCCTCCGTAACTTTAAGATCTTCTCATTTGAAAAGTAGGTAGATTAAGAATTGTGAAAGAGAATATGAATAATGTGAGGGGAAGATACTGGAATAATGTGATGAATCAACGACTTTCATAAGGTTTTTACAATTTGCATTTTTTACTTTTCTTTCCTTTTTTTTTCTTTGCAGCTTGGTAATCCTGATGAGTGAAGCAGGGATATTAGCAGATGATATAAGCAGTCATTCACATCCGATATGTTATAAGCAGATGATATAAGCAGTCATTTGCTTGATAAAAATAATAATATAAGCAGATGATATAAGCAGTCATTCGCTGGATAAAAATAATAATATGATCAATAATTACGTTTATACCATCATAATATGTTAACATTTATACCATCTTGCACATTTCATCCCGTGCAACGCACGGGTGGAATGCTAGTGAAGTTTAATTTTGTAAAATCAACTCCGTTTTAACTTATTCCCGCGCACCTCCATCTCCTTCTTACCTACCCTTCTTAAATCCTCCTTACATAGAATCGATAACATCATCG